CACTAGGTCCAGGACTTGAACCATAGTCAGCCATGTGGGAATGTCCAGTTTCCTAACCACCACACCACTTCCTGGTCCCCCCCCCCTTTTTTTATGGAGGTTTTTGCCTTAGGGCATGTGCACTTGCAAGAGAGAGAGAGAGAGAGATAGTGAGAAATAATCCCCTGGGGGATTGCTATGCTGCAATCCCTTCTCTGTTCTCCTCTCAGGATCTTGGGCACGCACACACACACACATGCCTGGTGTGAGTTTCAAGCCACCAGGGACTCAAACTCCAGTCAATCATGTGGGAATCCAGCAATGTAACTGTTATGCCATCTGCTGGACCCTCTCTGTTCTTGAACAGGAAATCCGAGTAACTCAAGCACCAAGAGAAAGAAAGAGGAAGGGAACTTGGTAGTTCCAAACAGTTAGAAAGTGGCCATGAGGTTAAATCCCAAGATTTTTTTCTAATCGCCAGAAGGAGCATGTGCTTGCCAGAGAGAGGGAGAGAAAGCATTCTCTGCAATAAGGCGTGGTTAATGGGGTGTGATCAGAAGGTGGTCAATCTCTTCTTCATTTCTCCATCCTGTTAAGATTTGAAGCACGCAGCACCAGCAGTTAGCGTAATGGCTATTTCACCGAACTCCCATGTAACTGACCGCGGTTCAAGTCCTGGATTGGGGGGCTTGTGCGCATGTGCGTGCGTGCCCGAGATCCCGCGAGGAGAATGGAGGAGAAGGGATTGCAGCGTGGCCATCCCCCCTGGGGGGTGATTTCTTGCTTTCTGTCTCTCTGTCTCTCTCTGTCTCTCTCTGGTGAGTGCACATGCCCTATAGCAAAAACCTCTCGAAAAGAAAAAAAAAAAAAGATTTGAAGCGCTCCACCTGGTTCCATGTGTTTTTCAAGCTTTCAGGACCATGATTTGAACTGTAGTTGACCATGTGGGTTCCAGCTCCCTTAACCACTAGCTGTGATAAGCACATGAACTCGTAGATTTCACTCTTCATTTAGACTTAGAATCAAACTTTGCTTAGAAGATCACAGTGGGGTTGTGAGCCCCAAATGTCCCTTCTATACCAAAGCCCCTGCAGGTCTTCTGAGCATTTTGGGGAGCTGTTTGTAAACAACTGATCCAGTTCTCCCAAGTCAGTTTGAGGAAATGGAGGCATCCTTTATTAGTTGGGTGCGGAAGCTACTCATGCTAGCCTGAGTGATCAGGGGGATTGGCTGAGGTTGGCAAGACAGAGCTGGCCTCCGAGATATCTGGATCTGGGTCATCAGCAGGTTAGCAGCTGTTCTCTCTTTCTTTTTCCCTGACCTTCACACCCCCTAATCGGTTGGCTTTGCATGGAGGTTTTGTCGACGCTGACTGGAGGTCTAATTCTCTTTCCTGGTCAAGAGTACAGCTGTTGTTATCTCTAGACTGACCTCTCCAGCTTTGCTCAAGGACAACACTCTGAATGCCCCTCTTCCAATTCCAGAAAACAGACTTCTGGGGACACACTGGGAACCACTGACAGGATCAGGGAAATGAGATATTTGATGGCCCAGCCTTAGCCACAGTTCAGCCTAGGCTGGGGGTGAGGATTTTCAGGCAGCACGTCATGGTCCCAGGGGAAGGACTAAGAGTGACATGAACCCTCCAGTCTTAAAGGAAGTCCCATGATGCAGTAAGAGAAGTCAGCTTCAGACAGCCTGGCCTGAGCCCAGGCTGGACTTGTCATTTGATCTTGGAAGTCCTGGAATCTCTCTGGTTCCTTTTTTTTAAATTAAGATTTTTGCCATAGGGCACCTGTGCTTGCCAGAGAGAGACACAGAGAGATACAGAGAGGGAAAGGGAGAAATCAGCCCCCCTGGGGTTGGCTATGTTGCAATCCTCTCTCCTTCACTTTCCTCTTGGGGTTTTGGGCACACGTACACATGCACTGGTGTGGTTTTCCCCACTGTGTCCAGAACTTGAACCCCAGTGGGCCATGTGAAAAGTCTAGATAGAGCCTTAACCACCACACCACCTGCTGGCCCCTCTTTTTTGTTCTTGATGTCCTTAGCTATAAAATAGGAAGACCACTTCTCATCTCGTAGACTTCCTGCGATGATCAAGTAGGATAAGAAGTTGAGAAATACTCTAACAGAAAGTAAAATGAAGGGGGAACATCTACGCTATGGATTAGATTTCAGAACAGGGCCTCCTGCAACCCAGTTAGGTGTTCCTGCCCTAGTATCAGGCTCATGGCTTCCTTGGGGGCTCCCTTTGGGAATAGGAGGCCCAGCTCAGCCCCTCCCTCTCCAGGTGAGATCCTTGACTCAGAGCCCGGACTGACAGTCTTCCTGGAAGCATCTCCTTCCCGGGACGTCAGTGCTGGTTTCTAGCATCTTTATTTCTGGGGGCTGTGATTCTTATTTGGTTAAATAACACATTTTTAAAAATTGTTGTGATTCCATACTGACGCTTCCCATATGGTTAATTGGAAGTGTTCTCACCAATATTGCAGGCAGTAAAAACTAATGAGGTAAATGGAAAATTTATCAAGTGCCACGGTTAGAAATTAACTTATTGCTTGGTGCTGCACTCATGACTAATGAAGTCAGAGGGGGTTCTTCACACAAACAGCAAACACGAGGGTCAGCCAGCCTTGCTGGCCATGACGTCAAGGAAAATCTTCTACCTGCCCTTCTCAACCTCTCTCCCCACCTCCTGTCTGCCAGACATCAGATGAGTGTGACAAACGGCCAGGCTTTCTAAGCCTATATCGCTCAAACACGACGATATATGCATTCAATTATGTATCCTATCACCAATAGCAACAGTAGCCAGCACTCGCTGATGCTTGGTGCTTCATATCCATTATCTCACATTCTTCTCACCTCGGGCTGTAAGGGGGGTACAGTGATTACTTGTAATTTACAGATGAGGAAACTGAGGCTCAGAGAGAGGAAGCAAGTTGTCCAAGGTCACACCTTTCTTTTTTTTTTAAAGAATTATTTAATTTTATGCATCGACTTATTTTTAATGTGACCAGAGAGACAGAACGAGAGAATGAGAGAAAGAGAAAGAGAGAGAGAGAGAAAGAGAGAGGGAATGTGAGAAAGCAAGCCTCCAGGCCAGGGATTTGAACTGCAGTTGGCTATGTGGGAGTCCAGTACCCCAACCATCATGTCAACTTCTGGCCACAAGGTCACACATTTTTAAGTGGTAAAGCTGGAATGCAATCCTAGATCTGATTCCAGTATTCATTACACTCGGCAGCACAGGGATTAATTCATCTACTCAGACAACAATGGACGCTGTGGTGCCAGGCACCATGCTCTCCTGGGGACCCCAGAATGGATCAGGACAGGCATGAAGGGTCTGGTTGCATATCTGGCTCCCTCTGTCACTTGCACACCGTGGGAGGGTGTTGAACCTTCTGGCTGCCCCATCAGATTCATTCTACCTCTTGAACTCGACTTTGTGCCCAGGGAGGCTGACCTGAGTGGACTTTCCTGCCCTCTGGCTTCTATTGAACTTAACCAATGGGAGATATTGACCAGAGAAGGGAAATGGGAGGAGAGTGAGCTAGGGGTGTTGGTTCATCAGCCTCCGTCTTGCAGATTGCCAGGGACTGGCCGTGACTCTTGTCCCAACTACTTTGGGTCCAGGAGTGATCAGGGCCTCCTGCTGTCACTACACCCTAGAGACTGTGCCATCCCCTCTTGGGTTCTATGAATCTTGTCTCCACTCCTGTACATTCTTCCACTAATAAACTCCTCTCAAATGATTACTTTGAGTGGTATCTCTTCCCTGCTGGGACTGTGATACAATGAAAGCACAATTTCATACTCAGTACAAATACTCAAGACATTTGCTTGTGCCTCAGTTCCCTCACCTGTAAACTGGGGGTCATAAAGAGCTGTCATGAAGATTACAGGAACTACGTGTAATGCTCATGAGTCATGAGTGCTCAGCACATGCCAGATGCTCAATAAAGTTCAGCTCTTATTATTAAGACAAGATCCTGCCTTTAAGAACTATTGTCAGTGGGAACCAGCAGTTAGCGAAATGGCTATGTCACTGGATTCCCACGTAGTCGACCGCGGTTCGTGTCCCGGACCCGGTGGCTTAAAACTCACGCCAGGTGCGTGTGCGTGCGTGCCCAAGATCCCGAGAGGAGAATGGAGGAGAAGGGATTGCGGCATGACCATCCCCCCTGGGGGGGTGATTTCTCAATTTCTGTCTCTATGTCTCTCTCTGTCTGTCTGGTGAGCACACGCGCCCTATAGTGAAAATCTCTCTCAGAAAAAAAAGAACTATTGTCAGTGATTCTCAAACTTGAGCATCCAGTGGAATAACCTGAATGCTGGCTAAATGTGCAGAGTCCAGCCCCAGATTCTGGGCTCAGGATGAGCCCTGCAGGTGTTTCTGGTGAGACCCTCTTAGGCAGGCTCTGTCCAGTTGCACAGAGGAAAGGAGCTCAGAGCAGGCAACTTTGTCCTGTGGGGAGGCTAGGGGGAGGACTTTGGGGGGAGCTGCTATTGAACCCAGACTTAAATGTAAGCTTGAAGAGCAAGTGTGTCAGGTCCAGGACAGCCTAGGGGAGACAGAGGTGGCCAGGAATTTGCAGTGACAAGGGAGGGCCAGTTGGTGGGACAGAAGTAAAACGTGACTCTGTGAGGCTGGCCTATGTGACCTCCAAAGAACTCCTTGAGTACACTGAACACATGGATGCCTGTGACCCAGGGCTGGCTGAGGACTTGGGGTGGATCATGGCATTAAGACCTTGTTGGTGTGCACTCTCTCTCTCTCTCAATATCTTAGAATAAATCAATCAATAAACTTAAAAAAAGAAAAGACATC